TCCAGCCACAAGCTCATCGTCCCCACCGTAGTCGATACCGAGGAGGCCGCTATCTGTTCATACCAGCTAGCAGCCTGGCCCGACTGCTCCCACTCGGCCCTCTCATATCGACTCCTATGCCTGAGTAAACACCCTACCCCTCAGCCCTCCAGAACAGCCATTACCTCTGACCAGCAATGTGACCCTCTAGAGATGACCACGCCTGGGGCCGGGCATCACAAAGTGTACAATAAAAACAGTCCGGCCTCAGTTCAATGAATTTAGGTAGATCCTCCTGCTTAATTACGGGAGCGTTACCACCACTCCCACCCTCACCCGTCGGCACTACAGCTGCCGAAAGGTCCTCCTTAGAGGGCGACTAAAACACTCAAATTCGGCCCCTCACTTCAAGCCACTACAATACGTTCGTGAGCTGCATATCCTCAATAGCCTTCATTCGAGCTTCATCAGGTTGCATTTCCATCCACCTCAGATACCGTTGGTGCTTCTCAGACTGCAGATGGGTGCTCATAATATCAAAAGAAATACTCGTCTTCTTCCGGCACAGCTCACAGTAGAGCCAGCCCTTCTCTAGACCTGCAAAAATATAGTCGAAAAAACCACACAAGTAGATTATCACCATAGTATTTCTCCCCGTCAGACAGACCAATGAAGTTGTTCTCAAGAATGGCCCGCTGGCTTGCGGGGAGCTCATCATACTGCTTTTGAGGATCCCAATCAGGGGGCATATCCCATGACGAAGACGAGTAGTCTATGACAACACACTATTACTCGAGCAGGAACCGTGCTGTTCTGGCAAGCGGAAGGTCCCCGGTTCTATCCCTCCGACAACCACATAGACTTATGCATCCTATCTCAAGACCTAGCCTCTAGTACTTCGTCTACTGCCTGCGGCAGGAACACTCCTCGCATGGGACCGCCACTCCGGATCCCAAGAGCTTCTCCACAAGCTGCCTCCCAGGGCCTTCGACTCAGCAGCCTCGGGAGACAGCTTGGCCTCTCTCCGGTCCGAGGAGGACTTCCCATCT